ATATATATATATATACACACACACACATTTATAAAATATTATATTATTAAATACTCTAATAGTTCATTAATAATCCTGAAAGATAACTGAGATCGTCAGTTCGTAAAGAGCATGTCATACCTTCATAACACGGTATGAGAGGCTGTGACTTGCCCTGCAGAGTGGCTGGGATGACGGAGCAGTATCCGTGAGGGAGGATATACTCCGATTCATAGTATACATTCTTCCAGCGGTGAGCGCAGGCCTGCAGACAATACAAGAAAAAGATGAAGAGTGAGAGACAAGGGCTATAGAAGTCAGTCAGGGTAGATGCTGGGATACTTAATTTAACAGGAATGCCAGGTATGAGGTAAAAGACAGTACAATTACAACCCATTAAACAGACTCTACATTCCTTGCAGCCTCAGGTGTTTAGCATGACAAAGGTATATATAGCACACACATCAGGTCTGAAATTGCGTCATCTTCATCAGCTTGCATAGTAATTGCACCAAGAAACAAACAGGATATTACACAGACAAAGCTTCTTCTCTTTATCCCAGTGCCAAATTAACTTCTGAGGCAAAACCAGAGCACTCAGCACAGAGCCAAGTCTGGAAACGTCTGTGGATCTAATATGTCCACTGAGAGAGGGTTGGTGGTTTTAGAAAGCTGAGCATCTTCATTCAAACAGCTCTGATCTCTGGAACAACAGAAGCGCTCAAGGTTGTGAAGGCAGCCAGAGAGCAGAGAGACACTGAGAGAGAGAGAGAGAGAGAAAGCAGAAAGGTCATAGACAGAGGATAATAACAAAAGTAGAGCTGCATCTCCTGACGGAAATCACTGAAGGAAGTTCTTGCAAGGCAGAATAGTGTTAAAGTTTCAGTTAGGCTTATTAGTTTGTTACAGAAACGCAAAGAGTCTATGCATTAATAATTCTATCTTAATGTTCTCCTGATTTTGACATACTTTTCCTCAAGATTTTAACATAACACTTTTTATGCTGATCTTGATTTATTTGTTGAATGGGGAAAAATGCTAGGGATGCAAACATCTGGTATTAATCAAAATATCCCAATGTACATATAAAGTACAAAAAAAGAAAAAAAAAATCACAAATGTACAAAATACTGATTAAATAAAAAAACACAAATGTATATAAAATATAAAACATACATAAAAACATAAAATACTGATTAAATAAGTCATTAAATAAAAACACAATATATGTACATATTCATTCATAATGCACATAGAAATTGATTTTGTTACCTCCCGACTAAGACAAAATGAGAAAAAAAATAACTTTTAGGATCTTAAAGGGGTCATATGATGCGATTTCAATTTTTCCTTTCTCTTTGGAGTGTTACAAGCTCTTGGTGCATAAAGAAGATCTGTAAAGTTGCAAAGACTAAAGTCTCAAATCCAAAGAGATATTCTTTATAAAAGTTCAGAGTCAGCCACACCTACCTAAAACGGCTCGTTCTAACACACCCCACATGTCTACGTCACGATGTGAGAAGATTTGCATAACGCCGCCCAAACGTTCACGCAAAGAAAGAAGGCGTAACTTAAAAATATTTGGCTGCACAACTGTTGATAATTCTAATAATAAATCAGCATATTAGAATGATTTCTGAAGATCA